TTTTTTTTTGATACTTTTAATGGGTTTTTTACTATATATTTAGATATTATTATTATTTTATCTATATTATCTGGTATATTTATAATAATTAGTAAAAATCCTATAGTTTCTGTTTTACATTTAATAATGTTATTTTCTTCTGTTTCTTGCTATTTAATTTTTTTAGGAATTAAATTTATTGGTTTATCTTATTTATTAGTATATGTTGGAGCTGTATCAATATTATTTTTATTTATTTTAATGCTAATAAATATTAGAGTTTCAGAATTAATAAGTAATACTAATAATAATATACCTTTAGCTATTTTAGCTATTTTAGCTATTTTTATTCCATATAATAATTTATCTACTGAAACAAAAACTAATTTTAACTTTGATAATCTTAAAATATTCTTTATTTCATCTAATAATTGAGACAGTAATTTAGTAGATGTTACTGATATTACTAGTATTGGAAATGTTATGTATACTAATTATTCTATATGATTAATAATTACTTCTATAATTTTATTATTAGCCATGGTTGGATCAATAGTCATAACTATTAAGCAAAAATATTAATAACTATAAAATAATATTATTTATAGGGGCTTTAGTTTAAGGGTAAAACATACGACTTTTAATCGTATTCATGGGGGTTCAAATCCCTTAGGCCTTAAAAAGATGTAAAGATACATTATAATATACAATAAAAGGAGAGTTCCTTTATTGGTAAGAAGGGTTGAGCTGTAAACTCAATAGTAATATGCTTTTAAGAGTTCGAATCTCTTGTCTCCTATTTCTTACTAGCTCAATGGTAGAGCAATATACTTCTAATATATTAATCTAAGTTCAAATCTTAGGTAAGACAAAGCCAGGATAGTTTAATAGGTTAGAACTTTAATTTCATGCATTAAGAATGAGAATTCAAGTTTCTCTTCTGGCTTCTCAAATCTACACGGGCTAGAGCCTGGCTGGTTTGGCGCCTCATTTGGGTTGAGGATCTTCTATGTTCGAATCATGGTGGCCCGAACCTTAATTAATATTAATTAATATATATAT